GCTTTATTTTGTTTCCTTTCCTTTTATGTGTTTAATAAACATATTTCAATGACAAAAAAAGAAGTTAGACACTAGGTTCCATGAGTATCAGTAGAAAGATCAACCTTTAATCGAGTGAGAGCTCTTTCAAATTGATGATATAAACCATCCAAAGACAAATAGGCAAACAATTCAACAACAACAATAAAAAAAAATCTCAGAAGACCAAACATAGATGATAATAAACATTCAGTTGGTGGATAGGCAAAAGTTCAAAAGCTTGATAAAATCCAATGGGAAAATAGCCATTTTTTTGGTGGTATATGAATCACCACAACCTTTCTGATAAGTAATCCAGCGTTAGCTATTAAAATTAAAAAGGTGCACATATACTTTGACTCAGCAATTCCACTTGTGAGAGCCTTCACTAATGAAATATACCCAGAATTATGAATATAATCACCAAGATGTTTACGGTAACATATTTGTGAAAAAAGCTTGGAAACAACCTGAATGTCGATCAACTAGTGATCTGCTAAACAGTGGCATATGCAATGGAAGGGAGAACTTTACATAAATTCCTGCCTTCCGAGGGTGGAATAATGAGGTAGTAAGTTCCTTGCAATGGAATGTTCTATCGGAGGCCATCAGAAATGCTAGTAGGGGAATTCTTATAGAGAATTATAAACACATTAGTCTGCATGATTTCTGAGTTTCTTTCTGACTCTGAAATTCTGTAATTCTATAAATTGAGCACAGTGACCTCAATGAAAGAAAGGAAGAAACGGAACGGAGGCAAGTTTTCTACCCTATTTTTATCTGCTCTCCTCATTTTAGAATTGGGACTTTGGGAGCAGGTTTAAGGGGTGGAATGTTTTCATTAGCACGTATAGAGGCTGCAAACTGAAGCTATTTCATTTAGACACATAATAAATGAAGAAAAAATGATTATTCATTTGTCTATCCCTAATTGTTGAAACAAGATCCATAGTTCAGAAAATGCCTCCTTTATATTCACAGTCACTAACGGAAAGTGACTAATTTGTGGCTGCACAGGGACACAGCATTAAACACTCTGAGCATATGGATAAGTGACTCTATGTGTCTAAGATCGATGGAGCCTGATGCCTGCTCCTTTGCTAGGGGCGTGGGCCAGCATAAATGTACTCAGGAATGGGAGAATGCCATCTAGTTATGTACTGGATGGCGTTGAGCGGCTGGATGCCTGCATTTCCCTCTATCAGTGGTTTGCAAACTGTGATACTTCCTCAGACGTGCTTCAGGGGCCCAGCAACCATTCGTTGCAAGTGTTTAAAGTATGTTTAAATAGTTATTTTTTAAAATGTAATTAAAAAGTAACTACCAAAAAAATAAAAATAAAAATAAAAATAAATAAAAAGTAACTACCAAACACATTCATATGTGATGTATATCCAATTTTAACACACTGGAAACCAACAAAGTATTAATGTACATTCTCATTGATTGGCTGTTTAAGCAAATATTATGAATATCAAAGCATAAAATAAGTCTGTGTATTAAAATACTGTTTTGTTTGTTTTATGATTCAGTATCATTTGGAAAATAGGAAATTTCACTGCTAAAGTTTTTGATAATCACTGCCCCAAATCACAAGTTAGGGAAAACAGAAAAGTAAAGGTAGGATGAGTGAAGCCTGAAAAATTACTATTAAAATGGTTAATTCATATAGTTCTCAAATCTTTAAATGGCCCACACCTCCTTCAGAACACCCCGCCTTAAAACAAAAATGCTTTATTCCACCTTAGAACATTTAAATCTATTTTGTTCTTTTCAGAATCTGATCATTCTTCTTCCTTAATTCTTATTTTTTTCTGTCATTTTTTGGGGGGAAAGGGAGTTGTTACTGGGAGTTGGAGTTAAGTTAAAGGTTGGTGAATGACTTGCATGACAACTTCTGTTTGAAGGAAAGAAGTTCTTCTTAAAGCATTCAGTTCTTTTTCTATTGCAAACATATTCTGAGAAATTAAGTGAGCTAGGAAACTTTCCAACAGAGATCTGGAGTTTGAGTGCCACGGTTCGAGTTCTAGTTCCACTATCTTTAAGGTGAACCCTAACATGGGCACATTTTCTAAGTGCTACCTCAATTTCCCTTTCTGCAAGATGGGGATAATAATAGCATTGTCATCACAGGGTTCTTGTGAAGATCAAAGGAGACAATATTCGTAAAGTACTCAGCATGGTGTCTAGCATGTGATAAGCGTTCCACAAATATTAGTGCCACTATTTTTTTATACATTTTTTTGCCCAAATTTACTATGAGAACTGTGGGTACCAAATACAAAAATAAGGAGGAAGGCTAAGAGGCACACAGTATGCAATTGTTTATGTTATAGAATTGTCATGAGACTTTTGCATTTATTATTCAATTCTTCAGTAAACTTTGTGAGTAGAAACCAAGGTTCTGAGAAGACACCAAACAGTAAGTGATGGAGGTAGAAGGGAGCAAATAGGAACAAGGTCCTTTAACCTAAATCTAGCACTTTTTCTTCTATGGTGCACCTTCTGTCATAGTTGCAAGACAGAGCTGTTAAAGTTAATAATGGTTGCTGATTTTTTTCTGCTTACTGTTTTTCATAGGTACAGAATTCTGATGTCCCCTAGATGATAACTAACACTGGCCATTCTTCACTCCTCTAATATTTATTTTGTGTAAATATAAGACAACTGGCCATACTGTCACTGTGTGAAGCAAAGGAGGAAAAAATTTCACAAAGAAAGATGTTAGTTCAGCTGGGAAAACAAAACAAATCACCCCAGTTATTTTAACAGACAAAATGTTATATAGGAAATTGGTTTAACAGTCATTGGAGAACTGAAAAGGCAAATAGGGACACAGACGTAATATAGAGAAAGTAAATGTAGGAAGCAGCTTTCACCTCTACGACTGGGAGAAACACAAGGCAGAATCTGGGGTCATTAGAACCCAGAAGTTGGAATAGGAGCCCCTCGGAACCCAGGAAGAGGTGCTGACAGTATGGTGTTGGTGTTTCTGAGGGGGTATAAGGAGGCTGCTTCTGAAAGGGTGAAAAGACAACTGCATATTGGAACCTAGGTGGGCTGCCAGAGTGAAGATGCGTTCTTGGGGTGATGCTGCAGGGACAAGAAGCAGACAGGAATGAACTGGTCCCTCCTCCCCTCTCAGGCCTTGTCATTTTTCTCTAGCGCCTCCTATTGGCAGAGCCTCAATAGCAAGCCGCTGGCAAAGTGGAAAGTGTTTGGCCAAGTCCCCAGCTCCAGCATCACAGGTAGGTTTGGAACTGAGAGGCAGTCGCTTCATAACCAGCACAGATGTATGCACATATTGTTACGGTTAATTGCCATTAATATATGTGTGTTATGGGCTGAATTGTGTCCACCCAAACTGACATATTGAAACCCTAACTTCTGGTAGCCTAGAATATAACTGAATTTGGAGATAGGCCTTTAAAGAGGTCATTAAGTTAAAAGGGGGCTGTTAACGTGGGCCCTAATCCATTATGACTGGTGTCCTTATAAGAAGAGGCTATCAGGACACAGACAACACAGATTAAGGGACAACCATGGAAGGACACAGCAAAAAAGGTGGCCATATACAAGCCAAGGAGAGAAGCCTCAGAATGAAACTAAGCTGACTGACACCTTGACCTTGGACTTTTAGCCTCCAGAACTGTAAGAAAATAAACTTCTGTTGTCTAAGCCACCCAGTTAGTAGTATTTTGCTGTGGTAGCCCTAGCCCACTAATACAGTGTGCTACAGAAGAAGCAATTATTTTAAACTGGATGTCTTCTAGACTCCATTATATCCAATTGGACCTCATGTTTTGATTTACTATTTTTATTATATATGATCTCAACTCTTCAGCCCCTGTCTGTCCCCAGTCCCACTGGATTAGGTCCTTATCATGTCCCATTTGAATTATTCCCAATTGATTTCCCTGCCTCCAGTTTTTTTACCCTCAGTTCGTCCTATCTGCCAACACAGAATAATCCCTATTACTCCGCTGCTTAAGACTCTTAACTAACTTCCTACAACCTGTAGAATAATGTCCAAACTCTGTGCGTGAACTACAAGTTGCCTCCTCTCCTTCCATCCTGCCCACTTCCTGTGTCAGGTCTCTTCTGCTAAAATTGCTCAGAGCCCTTGTCTTAATATCATACATAGCAAGGTGGTTGGGGGGCAGGGGCTTGGAGTTTGGACCTAAAGAAAAGCAAAATGTGTATAAAATGAAAGAATTATCACAATCAATCAGGTCTATGATGAGCTCCACCCAGCACTCTGTTTCTGGTAGAGGAACTAAAAGTTGAGAGACAGAAGGGCATTCAGAGAGCTGGCCAATCTTCCAGGTGTCTCATAAAAACCTACCAAGGGACTAGAAACATGCAAACCTACTAGGAGCAGGTTAATAAGTTATTAATAACAATAATCTACTTAATGAAGCAGGTTATTAATCAGGGGTTAGTTCAGAAAGGGAAGAGGAGAAGAGGAGTAATAGAGGTCCCATTCATGAGGCACCTACTCTGTTAAACAGTCGCCCTGCTAAGCACTCTCTATATGTTACATTTACCATGTAAGCCTCAAATGAACACCCTAAGGTATTTTTATCTCCATATTACAGAACACGCTCAAGGTCACCGAGGTAGGAAAACTGCCTTCAAGCCCAGATTTATTAGCGTTTAAAGCCTATGATCTTTTTACTGTATCAAGCTGCTTCAGCTATTACTGAACATAGAGTGTTATTTGTTTCTATAATTGGTCTGGTTATTTAAGCAATAGAGTTTTGTTTTCAGAAAATAAGACCCTCATTCTCAATTCACCACATCAGCTAGTAAAGCAGCTCTTTGTATAAAAAAGCAAAATTAACCTATATTTAACAGCAACCCATTACAGCTGCCAGAGCCATTGTCTCTGTAGCTCAGAAGGTCTATTGCAGGTGCCTAGAGTTTGCAAATCCTAAACAGCAGCGTAATAATGCATTCTGTCTTTCAAAGGGTAAAGACCTAGGATTGAAAGTGGTTCACTGGGGAGACTGATGAAGACTTCTTGACTAGAGGAAGGATTGTCATGCTGGTAAGTATAAGAGGAAACCATTAGAAATATTATTTCTTGATTGGTTGCTACTCATGTAAGTTGGTAAATATTTTGAGTTTCCTCTTTGTGAGGAGAGAATAGTTGGGGCACAGAACAAGACGGCTGTTTCTTTGATTTGTTAAATGCATCTGTGTCTTGAGCAGAAAGATGGGTAGAAAATGTGTAACTAATAAGAATGTTGAGCATAATGAATCATGATAAATTGTAAATCTACTGACAATTTCAGCTCTGTGAACATGTTCAAAGAGGCTTTATCTTCAAGAAATAGTCAGTGATATTCAAGCTAAGAGGATACTGCTGATTGAGAAACACTGAAGATAAATTCCTGATACTACTAAGGTGAGAGTATTCTTTACTTGTGTTCTAATTGTGTATGGTATTTAAATAAGAAATATTCTGGAAGCTTTGCTTAGCTGTTTCAGAAAAGGTTCAATTCTTATGAAAAGTAGTCTTTCTTACATATAATCTTTCTTGTAATATGTGCAAAGTATGTAGCACAGTGCTTGTCACAGGTGTATGTAGTTCAGCTTTCTTTTCCTTATTGAAACTCTAGCTGTTCAGACTTTTGTTCCATGATCCAGACACCACCTGGGTGTAATTACCTAAACTGTAATCACCTCAGGGGAAACAATAGCTTCTAGAATGCTGTTATTTCTTTCATTAACCAAAACCTATACATGCAACTAAAGTAGATGTTCTAACCCATGTTAAATTTATATTTTCTTCATTAAAATAAGATAGAAGTTCAACAGGTTTTGCCATTTGATACCTGTAGTGGTCTAAGTCTAATTATTTCAGTGCAGATAAGAAAAAAAGGTGCTCTTACCAACTGGATGAAATTACAGTAAAATGGCCAGAAAAATGATGTATATTTAGATCCCAAGAGAGTAATCAATTTACACTCTGAATCATGAAATCTGATTGCCCTTTTCTCTAATGTGAAACACCATGTACAACAATTTATTGACCATAAAACTACTCATCCATTTGGTGCCATGATTTCTCTGTGCGATTTTCAAAGAAAGGATTGGTATGAAATTGATCACCTAGTTGCTTCAGATGGAGAAAGCCCAACCACATTTTTTAGCTCTGCTTAGAAGGAGGACCTCCGTAAAATGGTAATGGGATTCTGCATTTCACTTTCATAATTTATGTCCAAATAAAAGCAGTAATTTTTTAGGCCTCCAGAATCACTAAGTTATCTTCTCCCATATTCTTTTTTCTTCCCTGTATTGTAAAGACAGACGTTTTCCTTCCAGCCTTTCAAGCTTATTATTGCAACTGCCCTTCCTTCCAAAGACCTTTGGATTCTGGAAACAATGAGCTCAGTTATATTACTTTAAAGATAGTAGATTTCTAAATAATGTCAAATTCATTCCCTATGGATCAATTTATATTCAACTAATGCTCATATTACAAAAATTGATGGACGAAATGTTCAGTAAACTTTTCAAAGAGGTTGAAGTAAGGCGTTTGGGTCTTATATATGAATAAACATTTTTGTAAAAACTCCCAAATTTTCCATAATTTGAATTTGAATAGAGGTATTTTTCACTTTCAGTCGCATAGCATGTCAATGCTTTGTGTTATTCAAAAACTGGTATGTATAAAATAAGAAGTTTAAGTTTCAAAATGTTTTGAACCTTGGGAATTCATTTCCTCTTTCAAAAAAATTATAAAGCCATTGAGTTTATCTTAAGTGCCACTTTCCACTTTATCTAAAGTCATTTTTACATTTGCCTTTAAATTTATTTCCATTTGAAAATGGAACATATCACCTGAGTCTGCAGTCACTGACAGTTGGAGAGAAACAATAACTGTTTCTAGAGCAAAAAGTTTTAGTCACAGTCTGAGGAGGAAAGGATATTTTGTTTAATGTCAAGGGATTCTTTTAATGGCAGAACTTCTCTAAATCAAGGACCATGAGAATATAATACTTTTTAATTTTAATAATTTAATTTTAATAATTATGAGTTTCTTTGAGTATGTTCAACCTAGCACAAAAGCCTTGCTAAATAATCAGCTCTCACCTCTCTTTTACAAGGATCTTTCTTTGATTGTACAAAAGCCAAATTTAGTAGTTCTCTGCACTCCAGATAATTTTTCCTTATAATAGGAACTGTCGATTATAATCACTTTACATAGGTTTTAGTGTGTCACCAAGAACGATAGTATGAAGCTTCTAATTAGATATGTAAATGGAAAAAAGGCAGGTTTAGTCAAATAAGAGTGTTGGACTTTACCTACAATTTGAAAGAGGCTGTTTTATACTGTTTCTAGTGTTCTGGTAACTAATAGTAAAAATCAAGAAATTTTATGAGTCTTATAATTTTTCAAAATTAATTTTTCAAAATGTTATAATGTTTCCAGAGCAAGTTGTATTAATGAGCTATCCAGTTCCTTGTTACACAAAGTATGGTCCATGAACCCCTCTGGCGTTATCTGGGGGTTTGTTAGAAATGCAGAATCTCAGAGCTGTTGAATCAGAACATGCATCTTTAATGAGTCTCCCAGGTGTTGCATAAGCATATTAACATTTGAGAAGCAGCAAACTAGTTAACAATGATACTCGGAGGGGCTAAAAACTGTTTATTACAGAGTTTCCCAGTTTATGTGCTGAGGCAGGCTGCTGTGCGACAAATAGTTTGCAGGTGCCCTGAAGTAACAACCCCCTTGGCCCTCAGAGCAGGTGGGTGGGGACTGACGCAGCCAGAGCCCCCCAGAGCAGCCCCTACAGTTGCAGGTGACCTTGTCCATTAACCCCAGTGTGTCATACAGATATCATCATTTGCTGTGTGCGCTGCTACATGAATAAAGTAACAGAATGCTGCTCTGATTAATTAGATTTAATGGGGGAATATTTTATGGGAAGGATTAGAGGTGGAAAGTATAGAGAAGTAGGAAATCAATGCTCTTGGGCACAGACAAATCAAAAGCGAGGAAGCCAAGATGGACTGGAGATTTGCGTCTGTTCTCCACCTCCTTGCATCGTTAAACAAGCAGAACTTATACAACAGCCAAATGATGTTGGAAGAATAGCTCCTGCCTGGCAGATTTTTTTTTCATAGTTCTTGCTTTAAGGTAAACCAGCATAGTCAAAAACATGCATAGGGCCTTCCCTGGTGGCACAGTGGTTGAGAGGCCGCCTGCCGATGCAGGGGACACGGGTTCGTGCCCTGGTCTGGGAAGATCCCACATGCCGCAGAGCGGCTGGGCCCGTGAGCCATGGCCGCTGAGCCTGTGCGTCCAGAGCCTGTGTTTCACGGCGGGAGAGGTCACAACAGTGAGAGGCCCGCGTACCGCAAAAAAAAAAAAAAAAAAAATGCATAAAATTGTTCAGCAGTAAACCCTTGGCAATGGCAATGGAAGGACCACGGAATAATAATAGAATATAGGCCAAATTAGAAAAACATTTCTCTAAGCCATATTTGTCAAATGCTTTGAAGAGAGTAGCTTAGAAATGGATATAAGAACCCAACTCCATAGCGATTGTTATTGCTATGGCATTGTGCTTTAGTGAATTTTTCAGTTAATATTTTAACTTTCATTCCTTAATATGGGTCTGCCTTTTTCAATTAATGAATTTATTTTTAAGTTTAATGGGACAAAACTAAAGAACTCCACAGTCTTAGCTTCTCTCTTGGGGCAAAGCAATGGCTTCCAATTGCCTTCTCTTGCTATAGTTTCCCTCTTTCAAACCCAATCATCCACATAAACGTCGGAGAGAATGTTGGAGAATACAAATCCTTTAATGTCACTTTTCTGCTTACACAGCTCCAATAGTGTGGCATCACTTTCTGGAGAGTTTAAATTCTTTCTTTTAACACTCACGTTCCTTTAGGACTTCTTAAGTCTCAGCTTCCTTTGCTATCCCACGCCCATCAGCATTCCAGCCACATCAAGCAGCTGTAGTTCCCCAGACATGCGGTGCTTTATAACACCTTGTGTCTTTGCACCTGCTGACTCTCCGACTGTAATGCTCTCCTCCTCCTTTGTTCGCTTGGCTAAGCCTTTCTCATCCTTGAGGCTTCAGCTCCAGTGCCACCTCCCCACCTTGGAAAGTCCTCTTCTCTTCTTCCCTTCTAGTGAGTTGTTCCCATGGAACCCTGTGTATGTCTTGATCATGGAATTTCTCACGGGACTTTTTCATCCAGACCAGCCTTGTGTGTGTACAGCTGTGTGGTTACACACAACCCTGCTCTCTGGAGGGCCTTCTACTTTACCTAATGTTCTGGTACGACCATTTTGAAATTCCTAATAATTTCATCTGTGAATTTGTGTTTCGAAGTGAAGTCTCATGGGACAATGGAACATACCCCTGAGCAGAGGAGATCCATGCAGTATCTGTGTCAGCCATTCCATAAACTGCCCCATTCACATAAAACATTTGCAATGCTTTACACCTACTACTGAGTAAGCAGTGGTATTTACAGGCCCAAGAGGGCATGCTTTCTAGAACTCACTTTGAAGACAGAAAAAAGGCAGTGATGTTCTAAGAAAGAAGAAAGAGCAAGGAATCCTATCATCCTTTCCTAAGCTTATCACTTCCCTGTGTTAGCCACCCACTTATAATGAAAATGATAGCATGGGAGAAAGGGAAAGGCAGGGCAACCCATAGTTCCTTCACTTTCAGCCCTTCCTTATTCACCAGGAAGCTAAAGGTTGAGAGCATATCAAGAAGCTTTACATTTTAGTGCTGATGGTACTTTTATGCTGATTTTTGAATAAGAGGTTTCATACTTTCATTTTTCAGTTGACCCTGCAAATTATATAGCTGACCCAATTATAATCTCTGCTTTCCTTGTCTGTGTACCATATTAGATTAGGGGTTTCTTGAAGGCAGGGAAAATGTTTTTCACCTTGGTATCCTTAGTGCTTACATAAAGCTGGCTCTCAAAAGATGAATTTCAAAAGGCAACTGCAGCTAATTTTAATGTTTCCAGAAAGGGGAGACAACATAAGTAGCTCTTTTTCCTGCTTAGAATGTGCACCTAACAAAGTATATTTTGTCTTGAATGTGGCAATATGGAGTAGGGAGAATAAAACCAAATCCCCGATCAGTTGGTGCTGGTTTTGAGCACCTGCTATGTCTGTGTTAGGTGTGTTAGGGAGAGTCACATATCTAGGAGTCATTCATGAGGTCTGGCTGCTTATGCCCAGAAATGGATAAATGGTGCAGGTGGCTAATGCTCACAGGAGACATGTACATTGTGGCATCAGAGGGGCTGGGAGATATGCCTCAGATGCCATGCCAAAGTGGATGTTTATATAGATAAATAAAAGCACGATTCCTACATGGGCAACTCAAGGTGAGGTAGAAGGGTCCTAATACATGGACT